ATATTTATCGACGGTACACCTTCTTCGACAACGATAGAAATATTTTTCAATTTAGCACACGATATAGGCACGTACTATGAGTGACGCAGACAGCACACACAAACACGAACACATGCTGAAATGAGTGCTGTGCCTGCCTGTGATGAGGAGATTGTGAATAAAGAATGAATATTGGTCGAATTTAAAAAACTGGTATGTTTTTTTTTTTAATGTTAGGTGTGCATCAGGGAGCATCATCAGTGGCGGTGATGATGCAAGTGACGTTGTTGCATTTTAATGTTTTGTTAGTCTAGCCCACGAGATGTGCCGCTTACTGCTGCACTCGCGTCTCACAGAAGAGATGTATAGAAAGCCATGCAAAGTTAAAACAGTTTAAACTTTTAAAAAATACGTCACGAATTTGTGGAGGTTTATTCCTTTTCACTGCGTCTCATATGTTTTTAAATGCAGTCTGTGTGAATGACGCTTCGGCTCTTTGGATTAAGCAATGCATAAATACATGATGCTGTTTTGTTCATAATTGTTTATGCAATTTATGAAATTATATTTGATTTTTGAGTTAATTTAGACGTAATGCACGTTTTTATAGAGTTACTTCCTTGCGTTGACAATTTAAATGCGCTGCATTATTTTGCTCATTGCGCCCTCGAGAGACAATTAGACCTATACAATAAAGACCTATTTAATCTGTATATAAAACATTAGAAATGAGATATGTTTAATTTTTATTGTGTTTGATTGTTAAAACAAAAAATGTTGTTTGTCTCACTCAATAAATATTATAAATACAGTGGTTAAATTAAAAAAAAAATTTCTATTGCTTTTTGTTTTAAAAAAGGTTATAAAAAATGTCAATAATTATCGATACCGAACGATATGAAACATTATATCATTGATAAATTTTTTAGCTATATTGCCCAGCCCTACCTGTACGAGTTTCTTTCTTCTGTTAAACACAGAGGTTATTTTGAATAATGCGGGTAACCAAACAGTTGTTGATCCCTATTGACTTCAATAGTATAGAAAATATACATCCAAAGTTCTGTTCAGCAGAAGAAATTCATACAGGTTTGGAACAACTTAAGGGTGAGTAAATGACCATTTTCATTTTTGGGTGAATTATTCCTTTAAGCAGTAGGCAAATATTTTCTGAGAACTATCTAAGACTAACAATATTAGGTAAAAAAATAAAATAAAAAAAAATTGAACCAAGTGTAAAATCATCTTTTTAAAGACCTTACATAGAACAATTCGTCATCATATGGATTTCAGGAATAAATATCCAACAGACTGGGCAAGGGGTTAAATTTACAAACAAAACTCATGCTGGATAAAAAAAAAAGCTTTGATCCTCATTTAAGTCTGTGACATTTTTCTTGTTCCCACAAACATCCAAACCATTTGTAGAGGACACAATATTAAAACCACAAAAAACAAAGCCGCAGCTTCACCCACATCCACAATCAGGACAAATGAAAACCAAATTTTCTCTCACAAAAATAGGTTGTTTTTTAAACACACCAAGAATGGCTATACACCGTTACAATCACCTTAAGCAAGGAACCATCGAGAAGGACCAGAAACGCTAAAGTAGGTGGCCTGCTTCACATTTCCTATTGCTTCCAAGTGTATCGCCAAGATGATCTGATATACATTGGCCTTGAGCCCAAGCATCTGGTTGCATCTTACTCCCAAAGCTGCCATTTCACACCGCTGCTTTTGTTTCAAAGTCATTATATAATGCTGCAATGCTCTTTGAAGCTCCATGATCATTCACACAACTGAATCGTCTAAAATACCTGATCATCCTTTAATTAATGAAATTCTGCTTTAACATTTAAAGTATTTGGGCTATTTGGTTGTGAGTGTTCCCCTTTGACCGTATCTCCCCGAGAGCCTGTCCTATTACTACAGAAGAGGAGCCAGTAGGTGACTATCCTTCCTGGTATAAAGACATGCCCATACCTGCTTCCCAAAGCTCAATCACTGTGTGTGATACCTCCAAAAGAGCACAGTCTGTAATGTGTTTGGTTGGTATGAGCTGGGTTGATAATCTCCTAGGATTTCGACCACAGACAATACATTAAGTAAACATTCATATGAGATCAGAAGTGGCGTTACAGACTTGGCATCACATTTTTGTATGAATTATAGCTTCTAAACTGTGACATACATAACACAGCATTGTAATAAATTATACAAGTTGTGGTTCTCTAGAACATGAGATCCCCACCCAAAACGGCACCCCTTGAGTTTCAAGATGTACTTTTACCAGATAGCACGGTCTGTAGCTCATCCAACCTTTCTTGCTCTTAATCTCAAACTAGCCATGAGTTAAACTGCAGAAATGACTAAATTCAAAGACAGTCTGGGCTGTTTGGGTGGATCAAATCGAAGAGAACTGCCAAGATCACTTAGAAAAGCAGACAAAGACCTGACAGACATAAATGACTATAACCACCTAAGATTTTTCATAGACAAAGCAAAAACAGGTTGATGAATTCAACTGCACAGGCTCATTTTGTCTGAGACACTGTATCTAACATAAGGCCTGGTACATTCTCACATTATATAGGTCTGTTTCTACTAAAGCTTTTTATAACAACACTAAGATTAAAGTCTAGAGGTCAGACATATGAAGAGGCTGGTTTTTGTGTGAAACAACACTTACCGTGACACATTTTCAATTTAATCTACACCAAATGCAACAAAGAAACTAGGATGATGCAGATCATCTAAGAAAAGCAACTTCCGATGAATATAAACCACAGGATGTAGAAATTACATTTAATATGCAACCATATATGCATGACAGACCAATTTTACACACCCTTGGACCACCACAGTGGAGAATAAAGGAGAAACCCTACTATCATAATAGCAAACCTGTTTTGTCTTCACATATTATTAGCCACAATGCATGTTTTGATCCAGATGTGAAGCATTAAAATGCTTATTGACCCTAATAGTAATTTTATTTATTTAGTATCCAAAACTGCCAAAGAAGATCAATGGCATACAAGCTGGATAGAAACATACAAATATGGCCTACTATATTTTAACAGTCACTGCTTAAAACAAACAAGTACAAATGAGTATTTAAGACACACATTTGGTAAAAAATAGTCTTTAATGACAGACAAGGATCCCACAATGGGTATTTTCAGCATTTTACTCAGCTCGCTAAAAGAAGCCCTGCAAACAAAGGGTCAAACAGGCAGAGCAGCTAATACGCTAGGCTACCAGCAAGGGTTCTTTCATTCAAATGAAACACAAACACTAGAAATGTAACGCTTATGTTGACAGGGTAGGTACAGGACTGTGGATTAAGAGCCACGTAAACACAAATGTAAAAACCGGGTTATGTAACATCACATACTGCCTACAGATACACAAACAGCAGCAGCGGCGGCGCTTGCATGTGTCCAACCCGACAACAGCTCGAGCCCAGCGCGACACAGCTTTGTTCGCGGCTCCCGTACAACACCCCTAACCCCACTCACAAGGATTAAACCGCTACAATTGACTTAAAACGATTAATATATTACCATACGAGCTGCCTCGGCCCATGTGCGCTCCTTCTTTCTCTTCTGTTTGTCCTTCATTTCCTCAGCGTTGTCGCGCGGGTGCGGATTTCTGCAGCGGATATGAAACGTGTGCGTGATATACGGCAAGCCCGCTAGCGTGCTAGGCTAGTTGCAGCACCAAACGGTCTTTGATAATACCCTTTCGCCCCAAGTAACGTTACTAGCGTAGTCGCTCTGTTCAGACACGCACGCGTTTCCGTAGAACGGCTTGCCAAAAAATCTGTCGGTTGTTGCAGCAGCGGCGTTCCAGAGAGTTTTTTTTGTAACGTCTCGCTGGTTAAACGGAGGTAAACAGAGACAGGGCGAAGAACAGGCGAGCCCCAGCAGCCTTTGGCATACTGCAGGAAATCCTCGGGTTGGAATGCACGACGAGGAGAACACAACAATGAGGTCAAAGGTCAAACACACTGCAGGAATGCAACACAAAAACAATTCTCCCCATCCCCCTCTTCTTCAGTCGCTCCTACAGCCGCGGCTCATCTGACGCATCTGACGGGTGAGGCCACGCCCATTGTTATGTGCGGCGAGATCAAATGTGATTCATATTAGGCAGCACGACACATACATAAAATACTACAATTATTATTATTATTTTTTTGTGCTTTGTAACGTTTCTCTAGGGATTTTTACTACACAAAACAATCGCACACTTATCAAAGCATTATTTAAGCAAAAGAAAACACTGCAAGTAAATATTCCTACATGCAAATGAAAGTACAATACGTCATGGTTCCGTAGACAAAATTGATATTAACCAGTTTTAACAATAGTTGAATAAGCATTGTAATTAAATAGTAGCAGTATTGACATGTTTTACATACTTCCTTTTATGGAGTTTTGACATAGAATCATCTTTTGGGTGGGACTTAAAAACCGTGTATCTCTTAACCAGTCATGTAAAATGTTCACATTAAGTCCACTCTTTTATTTATAGTTGTCATATCATAAATAGATATATTACCAGAAGTATTAAATGAGTAAAGAATTTAATTCTTGCCTAAATTAGTTACCAAACAAAGTCCCTCGTAAGGACTTTTATACATTTCTAGTCTTTGACTAGGGTGCACCTTCATATACGACCCTAGGACTTTTATTTTGAAAATACTGGAGGCGAATCACCGGAAAACGTAACTAAACTCAATAGAATATAGTTCGTTTTAAGGATTGAATAAGAAAATGTTATCTCGGAGTTATCTAATTTTTATTGATTGTAATACAATGAATATATCAAATAATACCACAAAGATCATGTTCATGTTATAGGTTGTAATAATTTTGAGACACTGCGGGGCTTTTGATAAGCGCCATCTTTGTTCGGGGCAAAGATGCCGAAAAGTTGTTCTGCATATAATTGCACAAATAGGTACAATAACAAAAATCCCGAAATCACGTTTCACAGGTAGGTAGTGATGGACAGCTTACTGTCAAGATGATTAAACGTATCCTAAATACATTTTGCAAGACATTTCATTTTTATTCCTGGTCAGGTTCCCTTTCAGTAAACCATCGGTTCTGAAACAATGGTTAGAGAACATTGGACGTGACGACTTTCAGCCAAGGAAGCATATGGTTATCTGTTCACTTCATTTCACCCCTGATTGTTTCAGTGGTTTGGGCAACCGTAAAAATCTATTGTGGAACGCAGTGCCAACTCTCTTTACAGTCCCATCTCAGGATACAAAGGTAAACAAGGTTACAAGATAAATTTAATACAAAATGTGTTTTTCATCTTTGTCTCCTTGTCATCTTTGTGCCGTGCCGTCAGCAAAATAATTGTAAGAAGAGAGCTTTAAAATCTGCTGCTGATAAATGGGATGACACTGCACCTGACAGGACGCCTCCTTTCACTGAGGAAACTCAAACTGAGGAGATGATGCATGATAATGCTCAACACTCTCACAGCAATGAAGAGGCTTACTGTCAAACCACAAAGGTGAATCTTTTATCTTACAGCCTACTCTTATATTCATGTGTATATATAATAATATTTATGGATTAAATGCTTTTTCCCACCAGGATTTAGCTGCCACAGACCACACCTATTCTCTTCTGGACCCATGCACGACTAAAGCCCGTTTGTTTAATGTTTTAGATGCTAACAGCTGGCTACAGAAAAGGTTGCAGACCAAATGCAGATTGATAAAAAGAATGAAACTCAAACTGCAAGATGCTCAAAGAGAACTTCTGACTTTGCGTCGACAGCTCAGATATAGATATAAGTATCACCAAAGATATTTACAGCTCCCAATGGGGAAGTGGCTTCAAGACGTTGTCAAGCAGTAATGAAGACCTCGGGTTGCACAAACATCGTTGAACTTTAAAGAAACCTGAACTTTTGGTCATGGAAAATGTGTTCAACAAATATATGTCTTGAAAAGCAGCAAAAGTGACAAGTTTTTTCTTTAATTGGACAGATATGTCCAATTAAAACTTAAATTTACTGGGCTTTGGTTTTGACTTGTGTGAAAGATTTTCTGCCCAAAGGATTGTTAGGAGAACATTTATAGAATAAATGGTAACATTTTACAGTAAGGTCCCTTTCATTAATCTTTGTTAACATTAGTTAATAAAAAATATCAAAGTTAATTGCTAGTACATGCTAGCTCAGGTCCATCAGATATTACCAGATAAAACTTCTGATTTTAATAACGTATTAGTGAATGTTGAAATTAACAAACTAGTTAACTGCTGTTAAACAGAACCTTATTGTAAAGTGTTATTGATTGAATTCTATCAAATGTCACCCTGCTGAAAACATTTGAGGAAACATTATGTAAGTTTGCTCTATTTTTTAAATAAAAATCATGTACACCATTCAAACACAATATACATTTCCATTGTTCCTTGAAGATTTATTTTAAAAATGTCAGTCTATACTTGCTGCAAGTGGTAGGCCATTAGGTAAAGTATAACAAACACCTTTGAACTCCAGCCAACAATTATAGATGGTCTTTTTTTAACATCATTCAAATGGCAAGTGTGCAGACTGGACACATTTCATATAAATTATACAACTCAAAAAGGAAACAGGAAAAGATATTCTGCATTCCATACAGCCAGTCTTTCAAATAAAAGATTAGTCATTTATCAAGACAAATTAATTTTCTTGCATAAAGATCCCAAATACCAAAAAGGCAACAAAAATTTAAATAAACCAAAGACTGTAATGGGGTTTAGATCTTCCCTGTATGAATTATGGCACTAAAATGCAGGGATTAAGGGAGATTGAGTCTAAAATACAAACAGAGAGGACTTTCCACTAATATCCCTTCATCCACTGCTATTCAAGTCTTTGGACACAAGGTGGGAGACTAGCCCTACATGAGCTTTAGTACACAGTTCACATTCTGCTTCTTCAACCAGCACGCAATAGACAATACCGGCATAGTGTGTGCATTGGCCCCTTCAATTCCTATGACACTGCTGGCAGACGTGAAGTACGAGAGGTGGGCCTCCAAATATTAGACTTGAGGGAAGGGATGAAAGAGAAAAATAATGCAAATGATTAAGCAGCCAGGGTTTCACTAAGAAAATGCTTTGCCTCCTATACACTTGCAAGATCATTTATTTGGAAGCTGGTGGTACAAAAAGTCAGATATAGAAAGAAGGCTGACAGCTGGGGTACACCAGCTCCTGTGGGATTCAGTGAGTCGGATCAAGCAGCAATGTTTCTGTGTGATGTAATGAGGGTAAAATAGCTCTCTCTGCTGAGTGCTGATTACAGGCACCGTTGTGGCTCTATATTTGAGGAGGGGGGCCTTTGTTTAAAAATGGTTTCAAGGCCTACCAACACAAAAATATATCTGTTGTTTAAGCTTTTTTCTGGGAAAGGACATTTTTATTCATGGAAATCCAGCGAATTAAATGTTCCAATTAAATGTTCTAATTTGCAAACAGACATCATGTAGAATAATATTTAAAAAAGCAACAAAATAAAGGATAAATAGGTATATGAAGACTTTTAAGGGCACAGAGTGTTTCCAGGGCACTACTCCAGAACATCTGTGTCTCATCAGTCTATACCAGTACAAACTGTCCCTTTCAGCTCAAGAGATACACGTTCCTAACTGTCATTATCAATCCTGTGAGCTACAAGGGAGAGGAAAGACAAAAGAACATGAGATTTTAAATTACAATTGGGAATAGCATTCATCTTTACTCCTGGTAAAGACAATTAAGCATTTGTCATCATAAAGTCAGGATATTAAGAATGAAAATAAATGCTCTAAAACAACTGTAGATTGTTTTGTCTGGTTTGCGTACTCACATTGTTTTGGTATCCTGAGTGCTTCTGTGTCACCACACAGAACTTGGTGCATCACACCTCTGAACTGATACAGCACCTTCAGACTCTTCTCCTCACCTACACAGGGGTCGTAGAAGCCCGGTAACCCAGCCTGAGGACATGCATGCAAAAACAATCAATTAATACCTGCTACAGCATTTAACATTAGGGGTGAAACAGTTTGGATTTCTCAAGGTTTGTTTTTTTGTATCTTTTTGTTTGTTAAACATTTCATGCAACAGTATTAGAGTGCAACATTAGAATATTTGAGGCTTTTTTTAATATATTAAGCTACATTTCAAAATTTTAATTTTTTTTATTTCAACATTTATTGGAATATTAAGGAAACTTACAGGATACTTACACTACCATTCAAAACAATTCTTATTATGTCTTATGTCTTCTATAATGTTGAAAACAGTTTTTCAGGTTAATATGTGACCCTGGACCACAAAACCAGTCTTAAGTCGCTGGGGTATATTTGTAGCAATAGCCAAAAAAACATTGAATGGGTCAAAATTATTGATTTTTCTTTTATGCCAAAAATCATAAGGACATTAAGTAAAGATCATGTTCCATGAAGATATTTTGTAAATTTCCTACTGTAAATATATCAAAACTTAATTTTTGATTAGTAATATGCATTGCTAAAAACTTAATTTGGACAAATTTAAAGGCGATTTTCTCAGTATTTAGATTTTTTTGCACACTCAGATTCCAGATTTTCAAATAGTTGTATCTCGGCCAAATATTGCCCTATCATAACAAACCATACATCAATGGAAAGCTTATTTATTCAGCTTTGAGATGGTGTATAAATCTAATCTGTATAAATAAAAAATAAAAAAATTGACCCTTATGACTGGTTTTGTGGTCCAGGGTCACATATATTTGTGGAAACTGTTACTACTTTGATGAACAGAAAGTTCAAAAGAACGGCATTTATATGAAATTGTAGTTTTTGTGACATAACTGTCTTTACTGTCATTTTTAACTAATTTAATGCATCTTTGCTGAAAGTATATTCTTAAAAAATATAAAAATCACACTGACCTCAAACCTTTGAACTCTTGTGTATGTCTTTATTTATAACTGTTTACATTTTTCACTCATTTGCAGTTTCTTTTCCCTTTTATTCAGTACAGTGATGCAAAAAAATACATTTAATATTTCAGAAGCAAAATCAAGCTTTAGAAAGCACATGCA